GAAAGTATGCCGCATTAGTAACGTTGGACGTCGCGAAAGCGTATATGACAGCGTGTAATCGGACATTCTTTTGTTTCCAAGGCGGCATTTCTTCGTCTACGTTCGCGCCCCGTCGCGGTGGTCTAGTGGCTAAGGTACTCACTCGGCTGCTGACCCGCAGGTCGCAGGTACCAATCCCGGCTGCGGCGGCTGCATTTCCGATGGAGGCGGAAATGTTGTAGGCCCTTGTACTCAGATTTGGGTGCACGTTAAAGAACCCCAGGTGGTCAAAATTTCTGGATCCCTCCACTACAGCGTCTCTCATAATCATATGGTGGTTTTGGGACGTTAAACCCCACAAATCTAATCTAATCTAATCGTCTACGTATGCGCATTGATTGATTGATTGATATGGGGGGTTTAACGTCCCAAAACCAGCAGATGATTATGAGAGACGCCGTAGTGGAGGGCTCCGGAAATTTCGACCACCTGGGGTTCTGTAACGAGCACCCAAATCTGAGCACACGGGCCTACATCTCCGCCTCCATCGAAAATGCAGCCTGGATTTGATCCCGCGAGCTGCGGGTCAGCAGCCGAGTACCTTAGCCACTAGACCACCACGGCGGGGCCTATACGTATACGCGCTAACACGAGGCGTTCCGCTAGGGGCAGTCCTTTCTCCTGTATTATTTAATATACTAATGAGTTCTATACCACGACATGAGAACGTACACACATATGTTTATGCGGATGACATCGCATTTTTTGCTGCGGCCGACAATATCAGGTGCTGCAGTCATACATAAGTATCAGCTCTAGAAGGATGGCTTGATGAAATGCACCTGCATCTCAATGTGCGAAAATGCTCCATACTGCCATTTCTTTTGAAAGACCCCATTCATATTACTCTTTATTATCATCTAGAGTGTATTCCGCAAGTTGAGCAAACGAAATACCTTGGTGTGCTATACGATCGCTCCATGTCTTGGAAGGAACACATCGAATACATATCAGTAAAGGGTGTTCGGGCGGTCGGTTTGTTACGCAAGATTAGTCATAGTCGATGTGGCATGCGAAGGCAAACGCTTTTATCAATATACTGCATGTACGTTCGACCGGTGCTGGAATTTGGATGCATATTATACGCTGGCGCTCCTGCTTATAAGCTTCGCCCGCTTGTAATGCTTGAGAGGCAACCCTTGCGTCTGTGTTTAGGCCTTCCTAAATTTGTATTCATTGAAGTCTTGCATGTGGAAGCTTGTCTCCCATCACTTAATTCACGTTTCAAATTATTGGCGGTACAGTCATTTTTAAAACTCTATTTTAAAAAACATTTTTAAAACCTCAGCAAGGCATTTCAAAAGTTTTTATCTCCCAGCCTGGGCTGTTCTTTGGAGCATATTGGCCAAAATTTCACACGCCTCAAATTCTCCATATACAGAGCTTCCTTGACAACTTAAATGTCCAAATAAGTGCCGTATCTCCGATTAGTGATAGAAACAGCTCCATTGAAATACAGTTTGACAAAATTTTTACAAAGCAAGCGAAAGTAACGTCGGACCGCACTTCAAATTCTAGTGATTATCTGGTTTATTCATCAATAAGGACAGTTTTTGCGACAGATGCTTTGCAAAATGAAGAGAAATGTGGAATGGGGATATTCACCCCTATTCTATATTGGTCATTTTTTCTACGCATTCCAGACTTTGCACCCATTTTTGTAGCAGAATTTTTCGCGATAATTTTGGCTCTCCGCAAATTAACTGCACCAACTTGTTCGGCAATAATTTTAACTGATTCGCGGTCGTTGTGCTCTTCTCTCACTGCAAATGACAACTTCCACGTGCCGAGTACTTTTGAATCATTAGTTCCACCATATATACAGTTGGTTAAATTGGTCTGGGTACCAGGGCATAAAGGAAGTTTCCTCAACGAAATGACGAATGCCTTGGCTAAGTCATCATTAAATGGCCCAGTTATTCACATACTTCCCGCATTTAAATTCGTTATAGGGGCTAAATTTAAAAGGAAAATTATGAAACACAATGAAATTTCAACACCTAAATCATCGTTGGAACAGTAAATTATGTGAAACGTGTGCAGTTGAAGTCTCACTCACAAGGCTGAGGTGTCATCCTCCATAACTAAATTTTTATTTACACAGAGCTGGTCTGGCTGCTTTCCCTACTTGTTGGTTTTGTAGAGTCCCTGAGACATCAGAACATTATCTGATATATTGTAAAGAAATACGCTGTATTGCGCAAAATCACATTAGATGCCGTCTTCCGTTCGTAGTATTGGAGTTAACTACTCCAAATGTACTTTCTTTGAAAGCTTTGTCCCTGGGGTTCACTGACGGGAAAGTTGCCGATGCCTTGCAAGAGTTTATTAAAGTTTACAAAAGATTCCGACTGTAGAACTTTTTATTACTCCTAAATTACATTTTTTCAAATTGCTTTATTCATTCATTTACTTATTGTTGTTGGTGAAATAATCTGTTGGTGAAACCATCAGCTTCATTTTCTATATTCGTTATTTCTAATTGTATAATTCTAACTTATTTTTGCCCTTTTTAAACATTTTAAAAACCATGAGCTAACAAATTAACAGTATTTCATCAGAACTACCCAGTTCTTGGCCTATCCCCCAGCGTGGCTGTGTGCGACAGTTTTCAGGCGCTTCCTTCCTTGTGCAGAGATTTTGCTCCGATGTCCGATTGTCGACGCTCAGTGCTCTCTTATTCTTTTCTGTAGGCCTGTCTGCTTCCAAAGAGTGGCGGCCAACACCTCCGCTGACCTGCGTGCGTGTCCCGCTGCCTCGACTACCATGATGTTCTTCTCAGTGCGTGCAAGAGTCGGCTCCACCACTCGATCCAAATGACGAACGGAGAGTCTCTGAAGACTGCCGAGCCTCTGCCGCCAGCAGTGAGAAACGTCACCGCTATGGACGCGTATACTCGATTACCCAGTTGACGCCTTCGTATCTGCCTCCGCTGCCATTCGGTGCGGCCCGTCCCCGGGCCTGAGCCACAGTCGACGCACCACGTCTTCGTGGCGCAAGAAGACGCGGGTCAAGTGGAACCACACAGGATCGACGCCTTTGCATCTGCCTCCGCTGCCATTCGATGCGGCCCGTCCCTGAGGCCTGAGCCACAGCCGACAAATCTCGTCTTCGTGGCGCAGGAAGACCAGAGACGTCATGATAGACATTTTCTGCTCATCATTAATTTCTAGTATGCTGCCCAGCAACCGCCTGTGGTGAAAGCGGCTCTGCCACTGCCGAGAGTGAATACATGAGTGGTATAGGGAGTCCCCCCCCCCCCCCCTCCCCTGGTAGTCCTCTCAGAATTATCTAAAGCATGCTTTTTTAATGACGATAGTCTTTCCTGGGCACCCCCGATGCAAAAATTTTGGTCTGTCTATCTGTACATTTGTCTGTTTGACTGCCCTTAACGGTACCCTAACGGCACCAAAGTGGTCAAACGATGCTCCGAACAGCCGACCCCATCCGTAGCGCCCACCAATAATGCTCAAAATTCAGCGTTCATATTGTGCGATTGTCGATTAAAAAGCAATAATTGTGCATATCTGAGGCACCATAACAACACGTATATGATCTGCATGTACGTCTTTTACAACAAAAGGCATACATCCGTAATTCTAAGGACCATAGCGTTAATCATGCTGCGCTGACCATGCAACGCTTGCACGAAAAGGCGAGTGTTTCCAGCGCTTTGCTAAGACGACACGGTGGTGCCACCTACCCGTCGCCTTGCGTTCTACACCTTATCACCTCAGAGATGGGCGCGCTTCGTTTTCCAAGATAACTGCCAGATAGCGCTCACGTTTCACATATGACATGACTTGATGCGCTCGTTCGCCTCCACTGCATGCTCGAGGAGCTAACGCAGCGCCTCCAGAATACCATTTACGGATTTTGTTGCACAGAACATCAAATAAACGTTTTGTTCACTCTCTTTAGACGCAAGACTTTAGTCTTTCGACGACGTTATCAGTGTAGCATGCAGATACGAGGCCTATTTTTTAAATTGCATGACATAATGACGTTTTCAAGACCTTATTACATTTACACGACAAACCCGGCTTGTATGCAAATTATGTAGACTCAAACTATAATTGTCTGCCATTTTTTTCCAATTTATGGGTGTAGTATACTTTGTAGCCATTCTCTGAAATAAAAAAAACAAGATTTTGTGGTCGCCACTGCGTACATGATACAGCCCAATTATAATTACCCTGCAATTATTTCCCACAAGTCTTACTGGTGTAATTACCTGAAATACAAACACACCCGTAAAAATCATGACACTGAAAGAAGTTCTCAAGACAGTCTAGAAAATATCTCGGTTGCGGCAAGGATCGTCACAGTTACCAAATATTGAACAGTGCCTCCTTTATGCTCTAGGCTTAATTGGCTGAAATGGGCCGGGCCCAAACCTTTCGGGCCCAGGCCGGATACGAGCCGTATTTAAAAACAGCGAGCCGAGCTCGGGCGGGCCGGAGCATGAAGTTTTGAGGCCGGGCCAGGAAAAATCGGCCTGTGCAGTGCTCTAGGCTGAACACCCCCCCCCCCCTCCCACGCACACACCACTACCACTGTGCACACTTACGCACAGGAGGACAGCCCAATCAAGGCACCAGCACGACAGCCAAATACACGCTCAACTGTCTTCAGCAGCCAACATTAGCAGGAAGGTGAGCTATCTTGGACACTGCATGCCAGTTCTGCAGGTCAAACAGGAGATCGTCAGCAGGACAAAAGTTTAATGCGGAGCACAAGCCAGCTGCTGCTGATGTGTATCACCCAAGACCACAGAGCTCGCATAAAACTATCAACCTTTTCTGCATGCTCTCATATGCTTTTCACAACACTCACTGCATACAAAGCACAATAGGATTCATACTCATACGATGTGTTGCGAGGAAGGCAATGGCATGAAAATTTCTCAGAAGTGTCTCTGCAGTTAATAATGAAATAAAAAGCAAAACAGTGAGAACTCATACAATCCAACACTTCTCTTTATTTTCACCGTTTGCATACGACTTTCCAAGCAAACAATGATAATGAAACAAAAATGTTCAGCAGTCAAATGACACAACAGGACTAAATAAATGGGATACAAGGCTAAGCCTGGCATGGCCAAATAGTGGCCCATAACCAGGAGAAAAAAAAGGTGTTTGTGTGGGTATACATATAATTATATATTTATACTTATGAACATATATATGCTTTCAAACTGGTATAACTAGCCTACAGGGAAATCCAGATGAACACTGGCTACTTACGATGAAAGAACCAAGAGTGTAAGAGTTGTGGGAATGTGACCACAGGTAGCAGAAATTGCCCTGTTCCTAGTGACAACTGCATCTGACAAGGCATACTTTTTAGGCTTATACAAAAGGGTAATCTTGGGATCACCTCAAAAGCATTCCAGGCACTTCTGATGGCACAGCAGTATTAGGTCACAACAGCTTTGTTTGCTCTTAAGTCAATAGGGGCTTCTTTTTACCATCGCAACACAGGTCTATCAGCCTGGCACGTAGCCAGAAATTTTTTTTGAGAAGGGCACCCCGTTAACCTTCAAAATTGACATTTTTCGCTCTCTATGCCATGGGGGACAAACTTTCAGGCAGAGGGGGAGGGGGGGCACATGCTTGGTGTGTTACCGCCTGGCTAGGCTCCTGCTATTAACAGTTCAAGCTTGAGTGCATCTACCATTCCACAAGCAGCCCCAAACAGTCACAGCATTGCATGCAACACGAAGGAAAAAAATGTATACACAAGTACAAAGTAAGCATTAGAAACCTGATTGATCATTTGTGCAAATCTCCAGGCTGGATTTCCTGCAATGTTGTTTTCCAACCAAAAAGAGTTGTTCCCAGACTGCTTTTCTTACTCAATGTGTTTCTGCATTCCCCAACTCTTTTCTTTGTGTTCCACTTGCCATGCGATCTGAGGATCCGTTCGAGGTGGGGCAACCACGTAGTCATTGTTGGGGGGAAAAGTCATTTTGTCGCACTCGCGTGCGTTCACAGGAATAGGAGTGGTAAAAGCATAGTGAGCAAGAAAAGCAGTCTCGGCACGAGTTTTTTTTCCCCTTTTGGTTGGAAAACAACCTTGCAGGAAAGTTGCCTTGCAAATTTCTGCAAAAGGTCAATTGTTTGTGAGACAGAAAAAACACTGTATGCACAGGGGTATGATAAATAAAGACAACAGCAGGTAAAAACCAGACATAGAACCCCAGTGGCAACAATGGTTTTAGGAATTTTCAATATACAAGTTTATATATACTATAGTATACTACAACATACTGAAAAATGTCAGCTGCATATATGCTTTGTCCAACAGTGCTTTCTCATTTTTGCCAGATCAAGCATTTTTCAAGTGTTTCAGATAGTTGACTTCCATACAGACACACATTTGTGTTATTACTGGTTTTAGGTAGTAAATTTTGTGAGATTTCACCATCACTGCTCAGCCAAATGTGATGGTAGTAACAACAAACCCTCAACTCTTATATAAGTAGTACAGTATTAACATTAGTCGCGAAAAAGTACTTACGGTTCAAGTAGAAATCGGCTAGCACAACTGCTTTTCACAGGTGAACGGCAGGCACGCCACAGTTCTGTGGGCAGAGCTTAGTTTTTCTTAGGTAACGTAAATGACTATAGCGCAATTAAAGAAGTTTTCTAGACCAAAACCTGACCAATTATGCATGACATGAACCTAAAACTCCACAAGTGCAAGCTGTGGACTAGTAGTTTCTCAGCAAAATTTCAAATGCAAAGTTCAGTAACTATACTCTACCTATGAAGTTCCCTTCAGCACTGCAAAGCCTGCAGGGCCCCATAGCCAACAGGCCCCTCCCCCGAGTATTCATCCGCAGCTCGTCTGCTAAGCGTTCCCCTGTTGTCTGTGTTCACAAGTTTTGCGAGCAAACGACAGCGTCAAAAGAACAGAACACGGCTGCACACAATGTCGCTGGTGCACTCCTAGCACCTCGTCGTAGTGCGCTGTGTGCCCTGCAAGTTCCAGACTGGCGCTTGTTTAGATTATGTTTTGGCATTTAGATTTATGTTTTGGCGCCTTGGCAGCAATACATTCGTGACTAAACCAAGTTATTTCCATGAACCGCTATCAAATTCTCAGTGCATTAGGCTTAGAAGGCATGGCTAAAGAAACAGCCTATGTCGCCAGTAACAATAAAGCCTACTTGATATTTTGTCCTGGTAGTGAGATGGCACAAAGCAATAGCTAATTACACCATTCATTTGCTTTTGTGGCCGCTCTGGTGATCGTCAAAGCCACGCTTAGATTGAAGCGGGCGGTCAAGTCTGCATGGGCACTGCCATCTTGATTTTTAACCACAGTTATCGACGGTTACTAATACAGCATTATAGAAACACAATGTAAATATCATGAAGAATGAACATATTAGTTATTGATGTGAAGCAGCAGATGCTAAAAAAGGCCAAATGCCTCAACCTTGCCTACTGCAAGACAATTATATTTGGAACTATGTTTTTCTTAGCAAGCATGCGGCTTGCTTATACCCCGTAGCTTCGACAGTACTGAAGCGTAGTGGGGACACCAAGTATAATAATGTAATAGTTTTGAATAATAATAACAATAACAAAAAAAAGCATACACAAGATCTTCTAAAGAAGAATATCTTTTTTTAATAAAAAAAAGAGCATTCCAGCACTGTACAGTAAGGACAGAGGAACCAGCAGTGTTTATTGGACACGTATTTACACATAAGCAAAAAGGCACAACGCAAGCTATTTTTTTTTTACACAACTACATGTGCTTAAAAGATGTGGTGGCATGTAATAATCAATCAGAACAAGTGGAAAACAGAATTTATGTTAACCCTTTCAGCCCTGTATTTTTTATTTTGGTCGGATACACTTTTTATGCGCGTTTTTCTCGTAGTTAGGACCTCCGAAGACCACAAACGAAAAATTGAGCCACTGGTACAAGCATCTTTGGATTAATTAACGTGTCATCAAATTAGGTGATTACGGCCCAGTGACTGGAAAACGAAAAAAATGGCTTCTTATTTTTTGCCAATCAATGCTGTACACAAATCGGAAACCAACGTCTTACTTTTCAGCCTAATACTCACTGAAACAGCTTCGGTACGTCGTCCCGAAAATGGCGCTTACCCGCCGCAACTTACGCGTCTCGGCTTCACGGAAGACCTCGGTCCCGCATCTTCTTCTTTGTGGCTGCTACCTTCATAAAGTGCTGCAATATTGGCGTCAATTGCAGTGGGGATCATTGAGGAACTAGGCCCCCAAAAATGAATAGTATTTGATTACGTTTCTGAGATACTAGGGGAAATGTTATGTGGTGTCAATTGACACCGCCAGGGCCGAAAGGGTGAAACATGCAATATAATATGACCAGCCATGCATATTTTCCCGTCTAAAAATGTTTTGTTAGTTATCTGAGCACTCATAGCTTACATGCTAACACACAACTTAAAGATGAATAAATGCTTCAGGAGAAACATTCCAGTGCATGAGACTGAGACAAATATTTGTTGTTGACACGACAGGACGAACATAGTGGCACGCTTGCAAGGATAAAAACAAAACAAACAAAGGCTTTAAGATATTATTAAATGGTAAATTAAAGTAAATAAGCCATATGTCCTGAAAACAGTTTTCCAGTTTAGAATAAAAACACTATGAAGTTTTTAAACTTAAATGAGCATAAAATATTCCGTCACTTTCTCATACTGGTTAATGACTCAGTCTCTTGGAGACCCAAACATAGAATGCCATGACAGATTCGGAGAGAAAAGACAACAATGAACTATAGTATAAGCTCACACGACAAATGTGAAATATCAACCACAAGAAACATGAGCAGTAAGAACTTGCACCAGTAGGGCAATGAGGCATTTGTGTGGTAACAAGCGGTAAATGCAGATGCACTACACAAACTGTGATGTGTTTAGTGCTGGAGAATTTCAAGCAAACAGAGCTTTTGTTTCTGAAGAGCTATGGGAAAAAAATACAGACCGAAATATACTACACTTCCTCCTGGGAAGGCCACTAAGATGCAAAAATATATAAAATCTGCTCACACAACAAGACCGACAGCTTTGCTTTCCAGCCTCTCATTTGCCCCAGCAAATGCAGTTGGTGCAGCCCCCAAATATGAAAATTACAGCAACAGTGATCGAGAACACAGATGAAGGATGTCAGACCAGCAGAAAATGAAAATGACATGTATTAAATATGCAATGGTGGACAGCTGAACTTCCAATTAACACCTCCCCTCAGTTGTCTGCGCTGCTGCCTTCACCACAGATGTCCTGGCGCTCCATCATGACCGTTTGAATCTTCTTGAAGAAACCTCGCTTTGTCGCAGGAGACTCATCTTCCGAAATATCATCCTCCTGCAAGATACGCTTGCTCACATTCTCAGTGCTCTGAACCATACGGTTGATGACACGCAGATCCTGCAGACAACAAATGCAAACACGTGACTTCAACTGTCCTCGATTAGCACAAACATGACACTTCTAATATCTAGCACAAAGTTCAGCTGGTAGGACTATTCTCTGAAATATTCTTCTCATAAAATGTGCAGGCTCCCATTCTGGCTGCCCTGAAGCATAAGGTTGATATATTACACAGCTCCTGCAGTTGGTACATGAATACAAATGATCTCATTCTATTTCTATGAGTGGTAAAACATCAAAATAAATATGACACTTTCATGTCTAGCAACCAGCAAAGCTCTGAAGTTTTTCTGGTTGATAATCTTGTCTTTCTTACATTCTATACACAAAGATGCTAAAATAATTCTTACACATTCTCATAAAACTTTACTATATTACGAAGAAGACAAATAAAAAAAGGCCAATACTACAAATTTTACTCGACAACAACACCAACAAAAACAGTTATTACAGAAGAGGGTACCTTACCTTGGCTGGACTTTGGCTAAAGTGATAAGTATGGTGCTTGGGTGACACAGGATAGGAACCAGCTTTGAGTGGTGACACAAAAACTTTTCTGTTGTGCGACACCTGCCGTCGTGGTGAGTTGACCACACATTTCGTTCGAGGCAATGGCGTCAAGCCAACATTTTCATTCTGAAATAAACAGCAATTTTTTGCTTCAGACACACAGCACATTCCAGTTGTTCTTTCACAAGCTACAATCCCTTGTTTTCAGATTTCCATGCAGCAGCCATATAGATATTAGCAGAATCTAACTCTGGATTTAGTTCATTAGTTTTGCAGTGGTGGTCCAACCAGTTCAAAATTTAGAGATATCATTTAATTAGGCAAGAAAAAAAGTTATCCTTTGGTGGGAAGAATTGCGTGCCTTCGGCTTTGACTGGAGTGATTGCGTTTACATAGTTGCCAGGCGCACAAAGATCACTTTGGTCGCTGGAGAGGTCCCGTTTTCGAAAAGAGCATGCTTTTCAAACACAGCTAAGTAATAACTGGGGCACTTCTTTGCACCCATCTGTATCTGTGATTATGTTTAGTGCATCATTTTTGTTTTGTTTCAACAGCGTTTCATGTGTCTAGCGGTAAACGTTATTAGTTCGCTCTCGTCCTGTGCGTTTTGTTTTCGTGCGTCATGTGTGCGTGAACAGCGTGCTGTACGTTTCGATATGCTAGCCGTTCTCAGCGTTACATTCTAAGTTGTTGCTATCCCATTCATTGCTTCGCCCTTGTGGCGAAACTGACTTTTTCGTTGTCGGGTTTGTCGTCGTGAACTTAGTTGGGACACCTGCTGCGCAGGGTGCGTTTGGCCGGTACGCTAGCTACACAGCTGGTTACGAACAGCGTACGCTGGAGCATTAGAACCAAGTGGTTGGACGACACTTCGACGTTGATCTGTGCGCTTTTGTTACGGGAGGAAACAAAAAGAACTTCAGGCTACAAAAAAGATTTGTTGCGCATTTCACGTTCCCAAACAAGCAAAGCTGTCACGCGAAATTCTCGCTGTTGTAACTCCAGTGTCTTTTTTCTCCCCCCAAGTTGGCGTGACCTTTTCAGGAAGAAAAAAAAAAAAAGGGGTGGGTTCATTACGCGAGTAAATATGGTATTTGTGACTATATACATGCAAAGTACGTTGTCATCATCCCAACTTAGCACCATACATCATGCTTCATTGTATTCAATAACTGTTATTAAACAAGCAAATATTTATAAATGCTTATATGACATGTGCCAGCAAGTTCACAGGCTCAAATGATGAAAATCAACTGGACCATATTGTCACGTGCTTGCTCAAGAAAGACGATGGCAGTTGTGCATGTGCCACGAAGGACTACGAAATGGACGAAGAAGAACTCGCTTGCGCGTTCTAATTAAAAACATCGACCTGCTTCTGGTGTCTCAATCTCTACGGCAAGACCTCTGTTTTGATGTCGTGACACTGGTGGAGGTGCTGGAGCCTACAACCGGATGCAGGACAGTCTTGCTCGGACCCGTTCACCTAGTCCAGAGACCCAGCCCCTCGTCACGACTCCGGTGCACCGATTCAGTCGGCGCCTACTAGGCCTAAGTCCGGAGTCCGCACCTGTTCCGCCTCTAACCAGCATGGCAGCTCCTACCACATCCATGGCTACCCTTACATCGCAGACCACTCTTCCCTCGCAGGTGACTCTTGAACATCCTCGCGTTCCTGAAGTTTTCCATGGGGAAGAGTACGAGGATGTCGAAGACTGGCTCAAACAGTTCGAACGGGTCGCTGTATCTAACCACTGAAACGAACAGCCCAAACTTGGCCGTGCGTGTTTCGCCCTGGAAGATAGCGCTCGCACGTGGTACGAAAACCACGAGGCTACTTTCCAATCTTGGGAAGATTTCCGTCGAAAGCTCCTCGCCACATTTTCGAACACGGACCGACGGGATCGCGCACAGCAACTGATTGAGGCTCGCGCACAAAAACCCAACAAAACAGCCGCCATGTACGCAGAGGGTATGATCCGTCTGTTTCGACGAGCTGACCCTGACATGCCCGAGGCAAAGAAGGTGCGTCACCTAATGCAGGGTGTCAAAGAACCAGTGTTTGCGGGCCTCGTACGAAATCCACCTACAATCGTAGATGAATTCATAAGAGAGGCGACTGTCATCGAGCGCGCACTGCGACGATACCGACACTTTGACCGCTTGCCGAACCACACGGCAGTAAGTGCTGCAGCTCAGAACACTGCCGTGTGTGAAAGTTCCCTGCGACAAATGATTAGGGAAATACTGCGTGAGGAACTTCGGGCCCTTTGAGTCCCTCCTACCCAACCGCCTGTCGCATCTGTTGCCGAAATCGTCCGCCAAGAGTTGAGGCAAGCCGTTACACCACCAACGCCAAGTCCTGAGCCACATCCAGAGAGCTACGCTGATGTGGTCCGTCGTCCTCCACCGTCATTTGTGGCGACACCCTTCCAGCCATGACCCGCGGCCGTACCTTGGTGGCAACGGGATTCCATGAGAGGACCACCAGTTCGCCGAATTGACTTGTGGCGCATAACCGACCGTCGACCTATTTGCTTCCGCTGCGGAAAACCAGGTCACATTGCTCGCTATTGCCGTCATAGCGATTCCGGCTTCGGGAACTTTTCTCGTCCCGCTTCTTTCCGCTCTGAAGATCGTAGTGCCCACGATGCCGATCAACTGTCGACTGGCCAAGCAACTACACCGCGTCGCTGGCGATCTCCATCTCCTGCGCGTCATCGTGACTTCCCTCAGAGCTACGCGGACGTCACCAGAGGCCGTTCGCCTAGCCCGCGCCGGGGAAACTAACTGCTGCGACCTCCGGGGGCAAGGTTGCCAATCGTCGAGACACTGAAAAGTTCCCCCTATCATCCCAAGAAGATATGACAACCACGACGAATATTAATGCCGGTGAAGTTGTACGTGCTGATCTTGGCATTTTCATTGACGGACATCACGTTACAGCACTGGTCGACACTGGCGCCGACTTCTCAATCATGCGACAAGAACTCGCCGACCGCCTTAGAAAGGTCAAGACACCGGTGGACAGGGCCACACATAAGGAGTGGTGGTCAGCTGATGATTCCCACGGGTAAATGCACCGCGACTTCTCATTGGGGATTCTAGCTTCGTGGCCACTTTCGTCCTGTTGCCAGACTGCTGTAAAGAGCTAATTTTGGGCATGGATTTTCTTCGAGATCATGGCGCTGTTATCAACATTCCTCAATGTATGGTGACGTTTTGCGCACATCCGTATGTCGACGACAGCAGCGACGAACTACGCAGCAGTTTGCAAATAGCCGACGATGTGACGCTCCCACCGAGATCCTGCTGCCTTGTGTCTGTGTCCAGTGGGTGGCCTTCCTATAAGGATGTGATAGTGGAGCACATAGTCGCTCTTTTGCTCACGCAAGGCATTTCCATCGCGAGAGGCATCCTAACGCTTACTGGTGGACAGGCAGAAGTGCTCCTCACAAACTTCAGCGACGAGCGCCGTCAAATCCAGAAGGGTACCGCAATTGCCTACTTCGACGATATAGACCAAGCCGGGGATTGATGTGCTTTGCAACCAGATGCCGCGATAGTCCCTGCCTCGACAACTTTGTCGGTGGACATCTGCTCCACGCTACCGCCCTCTGATAGGAAGCGCCTGCTTGGACTTATACACCAATTCGAAGACTGCTTTTCGCGTACGTCAAAGGTCCAGCGGACACCATTGACCAAGCACCGCATCATTACTGAAGACAACACGCGACCGATTCGGCAGAACCCCTACCGTGTGGCTCCGAAAGAACGCGAGGAGATTCAGAAGCAAGTACAGAAGATGTTCGTGGATGACGTCATACAACCTTGGAAAAGTCCTTGGGCGTCCCCCGTGGTTTTGGTCAAGAAAAAAGACGGCAGCTTGCGTTCCTGTATTGATTATCGCAAGTTAAACCAAGTCACGAAGAAAGACATCTATCCACTGCCTCGCATAGACGATTCACTCGATCGGCTGCGTCATGCACGCTATTTCTTTTCAATGGACCTCCGAAGCGGCTACTGGCAGATAGAAGTCGACGAGAGAGATCGTGAAAAAACGGCCTTTGTGACGCCTGATGGCCTTTACGAATTTAAGGTGCTTCCTTTTGGGTTGTGCTCGGCGCCAGCCACTTTTCAGCGTCTCATGAACACCGTACTATCGGGCCTGAAGTGGCAAACATGCTTGGTCTATCTGGACGATGTTGTTGTATTCTCAGCATCATTCGAGGAACATCTCAGCCGTCTATCCACCGTACTCCAAGCCATACGCTCGGCCGGCCTGACTTTAAAACCACAAAAATGTCATTTTGGTTTCAACGAACTCAGCTTCCTAGGCCACGTCGTCAGTCACGAGGGTGTTCGACCTGACACTGCAAAAATAGACGCCGTAGCGCAATTTCCTGCACCCCGTGACAAAAAGGCTGTGAGACGCTTCTTAGGGATGTGCGCCTATTACCGGCGATTTATCGAGGACTTTTCGTCTATTGCAGCGCCATTAACACGACTCACACGTGAGGACGTCCCCTTCTTTTGGGGTGAACAGGAGCAAATGACATTCAATGAACTGCGACAACCCTTGCAAACACCTCCAGTCCTTGCGCACTTCGACCAGGACGCCCCTACAGTACTTCACACTGACGCCAGCAATGTAGGTCTAGGTGCCGTTCTGGTGCAGTGGCAAGATGGCTGTGAAAGAGTAATAGCTTACGCCAGCAGAACTCTCTCTCGCACGGAGGAGAACTACTCGACCACCGAGAAGGAGTGTCTCGCCGGGGTGTGGGCAGTCATCAAATTTCGTCCGTATTTGTACGGCCGCTCCTTCAAGGTTGTTAGCGACCATCACTCTTTGTGCTGGCTCAGCAACCTTAAAGATCCATCTGGTCGTTTGGCACGCTGGAGCCTAAGACTTCAAGAGTTTGACATGACCATCGTCTACAAATCTGGGAAGAGGCACACCGACGCCGACTATCTCTCACGGTCGCCAGTGGAAACTGTCGCTCCTGATGACGAAAACATCGACGCGGCATTTTTGGGAGTTGTGAACACGGCCACTATTGCACGAGAGCAGCGCAGTGACCCTGAGCTGTTACCACTCATTGAATATTTAGAAGGACGACGTAAAG